AGTGCAGAGGTATAATGCAGAGGTCAGCAGTATAATGCAGAGGTCAGCTGTATAACGCAGAGTGCAGAGGTTAGCAGTATAACGCAGAATGCAGAGGTCAGCGGTATAACGCAGAGTGCAGAGGTTAGCAGTATAACGCAGAGTGCAGGTGTAACACAGAGGTCAGTAATGTAACGCAGAGGTCAGTTGTAACGCAGAGTACAGAGGTCAGCAGTATAACACAGAATATAGAAGTGTAATGCAGAAGTCAGAGGTCAGTAATGTAACACAGAGGTCAGTCGTGTAACACAGAAAGAACAGGGATTTACAGTGTACATAGATGATCTGATTTGCTATTTCAGAGCAACTACTCTTTTCCTCTCCAGGTGGTGGTAGGGGCGGAGATGTTTCTTCATGTAATAAACTGGTGAAACCCCCAGCAGCATCGCTGTTGTGCCTTCCAATCTCTCCTCCCACCCTGCCTATGGCAGAAGTGGGCGGAGGAAGTCGCGGGCAGCCAAACTGCTTTTTCTCCTCCTGACATGGGGATCGCCGCTGTGGCAGCGACCTTTTTTAAGGGGCGTCAGAGAGGTCCAGGGGGCTGGACCATTTAGCCCCTGGTGCCTGCTGTTGCGCTAGGGGAGTGCGCCCGCCTATGTTGGTGGGAAACCTTTTGTGTTCTCCTGCTTGCTGGTAGTTAAGCTATACATGGTCCTGTATTTAGCATTGTTAGGGTATAACAATTGAATGTTACCATTTATTGGTCAAAAGGGGCTGGAGATTTACACTGGTGATTAGTGGGGTCTGGAGGGGGACTCCTAGTTATCAGTATGGGCTGAAGGGGTACATTGAAGGTTATTTGGGGGCTGGTGGGGTACAGTGGAGGTCAGTAGGAGCTAAGGGGGAACATTAGAGGTCAGTAGGGTCTGTAATGGTACAGTGCCAGTCAATGGGATCTGAATGTGTGATCACTAAAATCACTCCGCCCACAGTTTCTGCATTAAACAGGAGCCAAGTGCAGGAGCAAGTTTTCCTGAGCTGGCTGCGGGATATGGCTTGAATCTGTGGAACGCCTGGATCTTTGGGGGTACAGGACGCTTGGGGCGTATGCTAATTTAAATGTAAACACTGAGCAGGTGCAGAAGAAGAGGAGGGAGCGTAGTGCTGAGAAAACAACCTAAAATACTTCAATTCTTGAGTGAATTACTCTACGGTGTCTGCATCTACAGAGGTCAGTAAGGATTTATCTACTGCTGGTAATAATATGTAAATATCTGAATGTTCATAGTCTGGGTATAGGTTTAGGTCCTGTTTCAATGGGGTTTGAGTTTAAGTAGATGGGCAAATGCAGCTTGCTTTCAGGAACATTTTACTTGCATTTGATACTAGTTTGAGACACTTCTGAGATTATTCGTGGTTCAGGTAACTCTTTTCACCTGCGTCTGACCTCCTTCTAAGCTGTATCAACCTGCATTGAGCTGCTTATGTATTAGCACTGGCTTGTATGGGAAGGGAGCAAGGTCTGACATAAACAAAAGAGTGTCAACACACAGACTTTTACTTTAGGATGTTTGAGATATTGGCAGGGGAAATAAGATGGAGTGGATGGAAGATAGTGCTGAGGAGAAGAAGGTGGGTATTCGTATAACAAAGGTTAGAAAAAAAGTGTTGTAATTTAGAAGCTGGAGTGGGAATTAAATCAGAACTGACATGTTTGTTTGTTTCAGGTCAGTGACTTGGAAAGTACCACTGTCGTTTGACCAGAATCATAGCCTCCCAACTAATATCATGGGAGGTCAACAATGTCAATGTCCAGTGTCTCCCAATGCTCCGTCTTTGCTACACGTTGCCCTGTGGCCTATGTATAGCTCAACATGCAGCTAAACCCTCCAAATCTGCAACTAGCCAGACTGAGTGGAATCTTGATGATTTATTAACAAAACAGGATGGGCTGAAAATGGTGAGAAAATACATAGAAACCATACAATCAATAGTATTGTATTGCACACTACTGGAGCTGTCACTGTTTACATTTTTAACCCCTTCATGACTGAGGCCCTTTTTTCAATTTTTGCACCCATGTTATATTCCACATTTTAGGCCTGAAAATGACGTAAAACCCCCCAACATTATATATTTTCTGAATGCCAAGACCATATTGGTAGTGTACAGTGAGTACACTCCATTCAGGTCCCCATCCAGCAGCATGTAATGCTGGAAATGCTCCTGCTGCAACTTACTGGGCCAGGAGGGGGGAAGTGGTGGTCACAGTTTTAAGGCAGCTTGGGCAAACTCAGGCGAACTAGGTACGCACCTAGCCCACCACGTGAAAAAGGTGTCTTGCTTGAGGTGTCATTTGTTGTTCACAGCACCCCAAAATAAACATGACGCAGGAAACTTGAAGCTCCTAAAGATGCACAAGCATCTTTAAGCATTGGTCACAGGTAGGGCAGCCTATTAAAAGGAATGGGCTGCCCTATGTACAACAAATTTACATAAGTGTGGCATGCATTGACACGCTACATACAGTAAGTGTGAATGGGGGCTTAGGCAGGGTATTAACTTTGAATTGGATCTTATGCAGCAAAGTGCTCTTTGCAAATTGCTTATATGGCAGTGGCAGGTAATATTAAAGCAATGCTTCCAGGTACAGGGATTCACCATTTTGATGGCTCACCATACATGTTACAACCTGACCATACATTATTATCATCTCTATATGCTAGTAAGCAAAGGAAGCTTAAAACCTGTGCAAAAGAAAGGCTATGCATCAAATGCACAGACATGTTTCTGACTAGTACATACATTTGTCACATTCACCAACATTTTTCAATGGCAGCGTAGACCAGCCATTCTCAAGCAGGGTGCATCCTGGCCTTCTCAGGGGTGCACAGCAACATGCTCTTCCATAGTGCAGGCAGGCTTCTGATGTGAAAGGGATCCTGGTGTAAAGGGGGAACTCTAATGTGTGTGTGTGTGTGGGGGGACACTGATATGTAAAGGGGGTCATAATGTTGAGGGGGCTTCTTGATGTGTAGGAGGGTTTGTGATATGAAGAGGGGGTCTTAGTGTGAAAGAGAAGACTCTGATGTGAAAGGGGACTCCTATTGTAAAGGGGGACTCTGATATGAAAGAGGAGATTCTGATGTGAAGGGGGGACTCTGATATGAAAATGGGGGCTCTGATGTAAAGGGCATCCTGATGTTAAGGGGGTGTTCAGATGTGAAGAGAGCTCATGATTTGAAGGAAGGGGGGGGGGGGGGGG